AGTAGTATATCCCGCCTTACTGGCAATCCCCGAGCAGTCTGGGTCCGAGTCACTCAACCGAGAGGAGGTAATTAAATATTCATACGGCGTAGGTACTGGAGGGTTTTAGGGTTTTAGTATTCATAACGAGTAGGTTCGTGGGTTAGGGTTTTTGCATCTCATTTTAAAAAATAACGGTACAAAAAAAGTACAAAGGGAACAAAAGATTCCAAGATCGAGGAGGATTAACTCCAACAAGAGAAATTGGACCCTTTATTAAGCGTTTAGGTATCGCGGGTTAGACACCTAACCGACTATGATTGTGAGCAGAAAAGGTATTTATAAGAATCCCAAAAGGTTGTTACACGCATGTGGTATAGGGTTATTAAATTGCGCATGGGTAACTATCACACAAAAATAATTTATGTAATAATAAAATAATTTTTATTGTCACGCCACGTGTCCACATACAATGAGTGTTTAAGAGTTCATAATAGCAATTAAATGTTCTGGAAAAGGTTCCGTGGTTTCCTTTTGTTCCGTAATGTCCTCTGTCTTCTCGGGTGTCACAAACACTTCATCTTCGTCGCTGCTTTGTTCGTCTGCCAAACGATCCCTGTATAGCTGTTCACAATGTTGCGTGTAGATCAAAAAAGCGCGAAGGACATTGAGGTACAGTTCATGAGTGGTGTCCTGTTCAAATCCTTTCATGGTTTTGATGTAGGAAGTCACATCTCGTTGGATTCTACAAAAATCATCGCAATCTGCCTTGTCGAACACCACTTATAGGAAATCGTCTAAAACCACTCTAGCCCATTTAGGGTTGTCTTCCAAATGTTCGTACATGTTGAAATAAGATCTGTATGTGCTGAAATGATGTGAGTTCTTTGAGTGAAGTCTTTTAATATAGAGGTAGTTTGTCAATCATCGATCCTGGTCGTTATCAGAAGTGTTGTAGTCAGACGAATCTCTGGGTAGAGGTTTATCTTCCCAATAACAAACAAATTCGTCGAAAGCCAACATCACAATGTTGTAGACTTTTCTGAATTGTTTCTCGTCGTCACTGGTATCGGCAGCGGCGTCTAAGACAGAGTGTGTAATTCTCGTTCTAATTTTTTCCAAATCAGTCATCTTGGCACGCTCGTCTACACAACACAGGAGTTCGTCTAGAACCACACAGGCACGGGCAGGGTACTCCTCCAAGTCTTTGGTCACGCCCAACGGTTTGGCTGAATCTTTAATCACTCGAAGCTAATTTGTGAAGGCGTCAAACACTTCAGTTTGAGCTTGTTTTATTTCTGGTGTAGGCGCTTCTCGTAGTATTCCTGCCAAGTCTTTCATGGTATTTAAGTTATGGTCTAAATCTCCTGTTGTGGCATCTATTCTCAAATCGTAAAGCATACAATTGATTTCACAAGCCGCAGCCCAAAGGCGAGTATGAATGGGGGAAGGCATCGTTCTGTCTCGTGTTCAGTGTAGTTATCAAATGGTAAAAAAGAGTAGGTAGCAGAAGTGTTTTATAAAAGCGAGCTGTCAATCACGCGTGGGCGTGGTCTCTTGGTCCGTGAATAGCAGACGTTTCTTACCAGAGGATATTTCATTCTCGTGCTGGTATCGCACAAAGTCCAAGAAGACTTGCATCACCTTACTGCGTAATTCTGAGGTTTTTCTATCGTAATCGTTCTCGTCGGGTGCAAAGTCGATTTAGTACTGCTCGGCATCTCGAATCACTCTTCGTAAGTCATCGTCGACAGAGTGAAACTCCATGACATCCAAGAGTTCG